ATCAGTCAAAATTCTGCCAAACATAAGGCCTTATGCCCAGATGTTTTCAGAGATAATATTTATTCAATTTTCAAGGAACTGATGGCCCCAACTTATGCAATAGAAGAAAAGCAAAATTTTTCTCATTTGTTTTTGAAGTTATGTCAACCTTGAAATAAGTTGGTGCTGGTTTGTAGGGGTTGGGGGAAGGAGAATGTGTGCTGGAAGAATATGAACTGTATAATCTTATGGTTGTCCTTCTATATTATGAATGAAGGAATAGATTGTTACAGAGTTGGAGTGGATTATCTCTAAGCATATCCCTTTGTTTATCCAAGAAAACTCTCCCCTGTATGTATGGAAAGGTAGAAAGGTAGAAAGGAGGCATATTGACTGACAAATCTTTCTTTGTACAGAGAGAAAGCAGATTTGGATTCCTATGCTGTATTAGTCAGCTTTCCATTGCTGTGACTAAATACCTGAGATAATCAACTTGTAAGAAGGAAAGATTTATTCTGGCTCACAGTTTCAGAGGTTTCTGACCATGATTGGTCGACTTCATTGCTTTTGAGCCTGTGGCAAGGAAGTACATGATGGTGGGGAGCATGTGGTGGAGCAAAGCTTGATTACCTCATGGCTTCTGAGAAGCAAAGAGAGAGGAGGGCTGGGGTCATAATATCCCCTTCAATGGCAGTGACCCAACTTCCTTCCACTAGGTCCCACCATTTAAAGGTTTTACTACCTCGCAAAGGTGCTTTAGCACATGGTGTTTGGTGGACATTCAAGATCTAAACTGTGCTATACCCTCAACCTTAAATGCCTAAATTCGACTTTTACTCTGGTACACTAACATTCACATTAGGAGCTGTGGCCTTTTAAAGGTTGGGTAAATTCTGCCAGTGTTTGGAAGACATAGTGGGTATGGCTGACCTCTGAGGGAGCCCATCGGTTAGTTCCTTGATGTCTGTATCTATTGTAACCATCCCTCTTTGTACTTGCTGATTCTAAGTGTGTATATATAGGGAAGAATGGCTGTATTTCTACTGTAGCTTTTGTCTGTATATTTTTTTCTTTGCATATTTTTTTTTAAGATGAGGCTTTCTCCATACTTTGTTCATTGATATCCACCTTTTGTCTTCTAAAATTTAACAAAACCTTCAGTCTGCTAATATAATCATTCTTTTACCTACACCTCAGCATTGTTATGGATTTAATCTCTTTTGTGTTTTCCCTGTCCTCTCAAAACAATTGTAGAGAAAAACGGGAAGTAAGTGCATGTCAGTATCCCTCCCAACTTAGATCAGTCATTCTATGTATGATTTACTACTAAAATAACTCTATTGCATTGAAAGTATTTGGCTTAGGAGACTATATTCTTTTTTTCCAGGGATATCATTACTTAAAACCTTGTTAAATTCTCTGAGTATCTGAATGAACAATGTGGATAAGACAAATAATATTGTGTTGAAGGAATATAAAAATCTCTTACCAACTCAGAAAACCTCTCCACAAAAGTCAAAGAAAAAGAAAATAATTTATTATCAATTAAGCATTAAACCAGAATGTGAAGTGCATTGCAGACAACCCACTAGAGGTCTTAAAAACTGAAAGAAATCTCTTATCCTGTTACACAGTCAAGCACATACAAACCACTATGTGTAGGCTCTAAAGAAATGATCATTAGTCCTTAAAATAAGAGGACTTGACATCACCATATGTCACACATAGTTCATCCCAAATTTACCTCATAATTAGGGCAACCATCAGTGACAGGTAGTTGGCATAAATCCAAAGGAAAAATAAACTCATATTTTTATGGCAGGAGTTAGTTTTGCAACTTGAAGTGAGGTGTCCACTGAAATTAGACTCCTACCTTCTCACAGATTCTGGAGATAGAGATATTATCTTCCTTGATATTTACTTTTCAGAGATGGCTCCCAGGTCCTTGAGAAAAAATTCCTGGTTTAAAATTGGCAAGAAGCCTATTTAGCTTTTAAAAAGATTTGCATGCATCCTCAAAGGAGCAGGGAAAGAATTTGCAAGTTTTCTAAAGAAAATATTCCAAGAAAAGCAAGGGAAGTATCTGTTTCCCTTTCTGCAGGAGGGAAAATCAGGGTTTTTTTTTTTTTTCTTCAATTTATATTTACTCCTATTATTTCAAGTAAAACACAAAATAAAAAATGAAATAGTTATCTTTGATAACTTAATTTTCTTAAATTTGTAAGCAATTCTAAAAATGTCTTGAGTCTTTTAATTTTTTTAAAGCAATGTCAGCATAATTGGGCTCTCAAAGATGATTGTTGCTAGAATGAAATGCTTTTAGATATGTATTTCCTAATATTATTGTTTAAAAAGGCACATTCACATAGTTCATTGTCACTTCCCTTTTGGGTAGTAGGCCTAACTCCATCAATAAAACAAAATAGTATATCTTATCTAATTAAGTATGTGCTTACTATTTATTGTGCAAGTTTAATGTATACGTATATGGTACCGACACACTCTTTATCTATTACCATAGCACTTTATTCTATATCCTTCATTTTGTTGTAGTTGCTAAAGTAAATCTTTAGAGTTGGAGCTATTCAGTTTGCTGCAATTGATCATGTAATAGCTAGTAATTGATTGATGTTAATGCTTGTCACATATTGACTTAAGTTTCTTGGTTAACTTCTTCAATTTTACTCTTTCTAAGATAACCAATTTTAAAGTTGTAAAAAATCCATAAAATAATTTGTTTTAAATGTTATTTTCTCATTTCATTCTAGGTAAATTAGATTGTTAATATGACTTAAGTCAGGTAGAATATTGCTTTTTGAAACACTGATTATTATTGTGGTGCATACTCATTTATCAGTTGGTAAATTAGGAGAAAAGAAGAAGAGTAAAACCTCTTTACTTTTAAAATAAAATGTTTTATTTCTTGCATAGGATATATTGCCTTTGTCATTTTTTTAAAATTCAATTTTATTGAGATATACATTCATTATGATAGAACATACACATTTTAGGGAAGTCATTTTAAAAACCCACTGATAAAAAGTATGCCCAGGTAATGGTTTCTGTAGCTTTTTTCCCCTATAACTTTTAGTATGATTAATTTAAAATAATGTGCTGTGGTGTACAGACTAGCCATGCTGGCATCACCTGAGATCCTGTTGGACACACAGACTCTTGACCTTTCTCCAGACCTATTTAATCAGAAATTCTAAGGGAGGGACCTAGCAATCTGTGTTCTAATAAGTCTGCCAGGTATTTCTAATATGAAATATGAGGAGCATTAAAGTAATGAAATATTTTAGTGGTTTATATAAAAATTTCATGATACCTCAAGGTAACCTTTAGTCTAATATCTGTTTTGAAGATGTATACTAGTAAATGAGTAACTTAATCTGCTTAATTATTTACTAGGAATTTTTGTTTGGTGGTATCTCAGGTTTGTTTTACTGAAGAAAGCATTGTGAAAGACTGGCTACTTTGCTCAATTTTTAGTGTTTGCTTAGAAATTTAACATGACTAAGTATAAATATTTTGAGGTTTGTGAAACCTTTTTCTAAAATTGCTAATTACATTATGGAATTTAAAAATTTACTGCCTAATTAAAACACCTCATAGCAACTCTTTATGTCTCACATTTATACTCCTGTTTGTATTTGCCACAGAGTCAGACTTCATCTTAGACACATGGTATTAACAAAGTTTCTTTTGTGTTTTTTAAATTGAAGACTTGATTTTGCTGGATTTTAGTGCTGAGATCAAGGGGATCAACTTTGAAATTGACTTAAAAAATTTATACAAATTTCTGAGTCATCTTTGCCTTCTCTTTTAACATTATAACCAATCACCAATTCCTCATCAGTGCTACTTCCTAATTATTTATGAATTTAACTCTTTCCCTTAATATTGTTTTCTTCTGGTCCGAACCACCATCATCTGTCCCCTGGACTTCCAGCTGGCATATTGAAATCAATTTTTGCAATGTGATTAAAGCACTGTTTAATAATATACATCTGATCATGTCCTTTCCACTTAAAACTCCTAAGTAGGGGGCTGTAGTTGTAGCTCAGTGGTAGAGTGCTTGCCTAGCACATGTGAGGCACTGGGTTTAGTCCTCAGCACCACATCAAAATAATTAAATAAAAACAAAGGCATTAAAAAAACAAAAACTCATCAGTAGCTTCTCAGAGTCCATTCTACTGTGAGACCTTACAAGATGTACTTATTTAGCTTCTCCAGCCTAGAGAGCTATCTTTTTCTAGATCCTAAAATGTACCATGTTTTTTTCTACCATAGGGCTTTTTTAAAAACTATTTTTTTATTAAAGCATCGTTATTATACACAGTTATTGGTTTCATTTTGACAAAATAATACATGCAAGGAATTTGTTTGCAAGCCCCATCCCCCCACTTTCCTCTCCTCTTCCTTCCCCCTATTTTCCCTCCTGTATGCTATTACATTTCCTTTCTTCTACATATACATAAAAGTAAAATTCCCTTTGGTATCTATATATGGAATATAATGTGATTTTGTTAAGTTCATTTCATTTATCTTCCCCTTTTCCTTCATTCCTCCTTTTCATTTTCCTACTCCTCTGTTTTTCCCTGAATTTTTACACCATAGGGCTTTTAAATGTGTTATTCCTTTATGATCCTGGTCAGACTTCATTGATCTTTAGACTTTAGTTTATAGACTGCTTTTTTAGGGGAATCATTCCTGATATCCTATCTCCACATCCCACCCACTTACCTTCATAGCTCTTATTACATGTATATGTTCATAGCTTTATCTGTGTTTGGTCATTATCATACTTACTTTTGTATTTATTTGTTTATTATCTGCCATCCTTCTAGACTGATTCATGAGGGTAAGATCCACTTCTGGTAATCTTAGTGCACAGCCAAGTATATGAAGAGTGAACTAATGAACAAATTGTGATGACTTTTTATTTGTTGAAATAGTATTGGGTTTATTCAGCTGCCACATTTTTGTGAATAAGATGTTCCTTATTTTTGTGTATATAGATTATGCTTGTGCTCTTCAAAGGGACATTTTGCTTCAGGGACGACTATACCTTTCAGAAAACTGGCTGTGTTTCTATAGCAACATCTTCAGATGGGAAACTACAGTAAGACATATTTTTGAATTTGATTAGTTAGTACAAATAATTGCATAAATAGAAATATATACTGTCCCCTTAAAATCAATGTATTCTAGACAATTCCAAAGTAAATTCATATGTATGTTTGTGCATCTTTACTTAGATATGAGTAAATTTACATGTTGTATAAAATATAACATATTTTTCTAACTTAATGCCTTGAGTTCCATTTATACTTATTAGATATGGTTACAGAAAAATTTCAGATTGCAAAAGCTTGGATATATATCTGTTGGCTGACAAAACCAAATCTTATGTGAAAGACTGTCTGAGTTTTGCTTGTGTGTTGGTGTGTTAACGTGGAACATGAACACCCATGCGTATTTTCACACTGTATCCTACTGTAAGATGTGGGAGTTGGTGGAGGAGAATACTGAAGGGAAGAATGTCTGAGTGCTTACCTTGTTTTTCCTAAAGGATATAAGCATGTGTTTATTAATCCCTTCAGAATTTTCTACTAAATATTCTGGATTAGAATTATATTATAATCCTTGGCATTTTGTATTGTATATACTTCTAAAAAATATACTTTTTGATTTTTCAATTCTTTTGTATGTTTAGATTTCTATTGCTTTGAAGAATATAACCTTTATGACCAAGGAGAAAACTGCTCGACTGATCCCAAATGCTATCCAGATCATTACAGATGGTGAAAAGGTGAAAAACTTTTCTACCTTTGCCATGTTCCATAGTGTGAAGAAAATTTGCATCATACTGATCATCAGTATTGAGAATATAGGCAGCTGTTGAAGTTAGGAATATCTTGTAGAAATACACTGTATTTAATACTAGGTTTATGTATACTTTAATAATTATTGGTGATTAACTTTAAATGACTGACTTTTTTGTACTTCATAGTTTATGAGAACTTTCACCCATATTTTTCATTTTCTCATTGTTAAGAGGTAGGCAGGGTGAGTGTTGGCAAAATGTTCTTATTATTTCTAAATACCGTAATAATTTCATTATTGTTTAGTCAGTAATACCTGCATAATAGCAACTAATAAAAACAAATACTCTTGTGAGCAGAGATTTGGGCAGCATACAAGTAAGAACACATAATCATTATAGTCTTTTCTTAACAATGGCAATTAATAGCCATCATTTTATTATTCACCTGCAATGTCTATCATTTCTTGGTGGGGATATATGAGTAATCTTTCTGTACCCATCTGAAAAAAATTGTTCAGGGCTATGTGTCTGATATTAGAAACATAATGCTGAGGAAGAAGAAGAAAGAAGGAAGGTACAGAAGGAAAGTATGGTAGGGTATGAAGGGGAGTCAGAGAGAAGGAAAGAAGGAAGGAAGGGAAGAAGTAAGTGAAGGAAAGAAAGAACATGGGGAGAGAGAAACAGGATCATGATATTAAGTCTTTGTAATTATACTTAAATTTTTTTTTTTAGTTGTGGATGGACACAATATATTTATTTTTATGTGGTGCTGAAGTTTGAACCTAGTACCTCACAGGTGCAAAGCAAGTGCTCTACCACTGAGCTACAGTCCCAGCTCTGTAATTATAGTTTTTAATCTTATAAAGTTTCTTTCAAATGCACTTTGAGTTTTATTGTTTATTTATTTTTGTGGTGTCAGGCATCAAATCCAGGGCCTCACACATGGTAGGCAAGTTCTCTGACACTGAACTATATTCCCAACCCCTTATATTTGTTTTTGAACATTCTCATTCCTACAGAGTATTTCCAAATACAATACAAAGACCTTTCCCCACTGAGCTATTTTGAGAGTAAACTGTCTGTCAACCCAGATGCCTCGTTGCCCTCATATTACATAACCACAATATAACCATCAAAATCAAGAAAGTAATATTGATTTATCATTGTTTAATCTTTGGACTGCTTTCAGTTTCCACAGTTATTCCAGTAATCTCATAGACTCAGTTCTGTGTTCCTCAGTTTCCTGGAGGAGTCCTTTTTGCCTTTGCTTTACCTTTATGTTCCTGACACTTTTAAAGATTACAGGTCAATTATTTTGTAAGATATTTCAGAATCTGTTTGATGTTTCCTTATGATTAAATTTGGGTTATGCAATTTTGGAAGAAATCCCTAGAAATGATGCTCTTTTGTTCCTTTTGGATCCTATCAGATGGCACATAATTTTAGTTTGTGCCATTACTGGTGATATTTATATTGATTATTTAATTGTGTCTGCCAGTCTTTGTTTTAAAGTTAATCTATTTTCCTATACAAATATTTTGAAGCAAGATGCTTTGAAACTATATAAACATACCATTCTTGCCAAACTTAAATTTATTTATTTGTTTATTTTTATCATTTACTTATATCATTATGAACTCACAGTTTTTATTTTATTCAATGCTTATAATCACTACAGTTACTTATTTTGATGTTCAGATTTCCCAAGTTTGGGCATTTGAAACTCTTTCAACCTGGTGTTTATGTTCTTTTAATTATTTTCAGTATTGTTTGAGCATTTCTTTGCTTTTTGACACAAGATGTTTCAGACTTTGGCTGTTCCAGTGCTAGAATCTATCATTTCTTCAAGGAGTTTTGATTTCTTTAGGAGAAGACCAATATTTAGAAGCTAGCATATTCATTGTATTGGGGTATCACTATTTCTGAATTCTCTGTGGACAGAAAAAGAGTGTATATTATGTGTATAATGCTTTATTGTTTATTTATTTTATGTAATCATACACCAACATAATCATACACCCACATTCAAAATGCACACACATACATATGCCCACTTATATATCTATCTATCCCTCCTTCCATGCAGCCATTCATTCATCTATCCATCTATCCATCCATGAACACATATCAATACTTCCCATTCCAATTGAACACCACAGAGTTCATTCTTGTTTTCTCCATTTCCATGTTTGTAACCCCTCCTTCCCTGACAATGAGAAACCAGGCTCCCATTATCCATTATTTGATCAGTTAGCCTGTTTGGAACCAATCTCCATCTCCACTGTCACCCCCAACATGGATGTCCTTTCACCTCATGAAAGGTTCTGACAGAGTTGGGCCACTGCCCATCCCACTCAAATATTCTCATATGCCTGACCTATGATCTCCTCACCTTGCTTGGATGGATGCCACATGTCCTTTCCATGTATCCACATTTCTCTGTCAGAGGTCTTTTTACCCACTTGGGCTCTGACACTGTGTTGGGACAATGTTTCTGTGTGAACAACCTCCTCATTCTGATCTAAACACTACTTTGAGTTTTTCTGCCCCCATCCTCACTGCTAGTGTAGGGCCTTCTTTTCTCTGTTCTACCAACACCTTTAGTGATAACCTATTTAGTAACGGAATAGTTTAATATTCTTACCTTTATAATTAATACATGCATACATTTTCATTATTTAACAAAATCATCAAATGATTCTTAACTAACATTTTCCTTCCATGCCAGTAAAGCCTCAATTCCATTGTCCTTCCAGAGGCAAATGCTATTATAATTTGATTTGTATTTTCAGTCTGCCTTTGTGTTTGCATATATATGTGCATACATATGTGTATGCATATATGTATATATATATATATATATGTATATATAATTTTGCTTTTCTAAAGTAAATACTATCTTATTCATATTGTTCTTCAGCTCTCTTGCTCTTTTTTGGGGGTGGTGGTGGTAGGAGTACTGGAGATTTAACCCAGGGGCCCAGAGGTGCTTTATCACTAAGCCACATTCCCAGCCCTTTTTTAAAAATCTTTTATTTTGAAACAGGATCTCACTAAATTGCTTAGGGTCTTGCTAAATTGCTGAGGCTGGTCTTGAATTTGCAATCCCCTTGTCAGAGCTTCCTGAGTCCCTGGAATTATAAGTAGGTACCAAGGTACGTGGCTGAGCTCTCTTTTTAAAAGAAATTAGCACCAAATTGGGTATAATAGTGAATGCCTATAATTCTGTGGACTGTGGAGGCTGAGATAGGAGAATCCCAAGCTGGGCAATTTAGTGAGACCCTGTATTTAAAAAAAGGGTTCTGGGGAGGGGGGTGGCCTGGGAATGTAGTTCAGTGGTAAAGCACTTGCCTAGCATGCACAAGGCTCCATCAATCCCCAGTACTACAAAATTAATGACTACCATCACCACAATAAAATCCAACAAAATTATCTCTTGGAATTGCAGATGGACGCATATAGAAAGATCGATCTCTGATTTTTGAAGTGTTATATAGTATTTCTTTGGATGTCTTGTGGTTCCGTTGATCATTAATTCAGTTTTAATATTTTACTCTTATAACAGTGCTGCAGTGAACAGTCTTACCATGCCTTCTTAAGCTCATGAGTTACTGTTTCTTACATACATAGTGAAATTTCAGGGGGAAACATATTAATTTTGATAATGATAATAACACCTAGCATTTACTGAACACTTGGTTGTAGATGTTATTTTAAACATTTCACATGTTTTCTCATTTAATTTTCATAAAAATCTGCTATTATAATTATTCAGTTATTCTCTTTTTATAGATGAGAAAAGAAGGCAGAAATGCCCCAAAGTCAGAGAACTAATAAGTGATAGAACCAGAACAGCAGCTTAATTCAAACTCTTCCTGAATTAGTAGGCTTATTCTTGAACCAACGCTTATTAATAGTTTGTTTGTTGTTGTTGTCATTGTTTTTTTCAGTCCTGGGGATTGAACTGAAGACCTTGCCACATGCTAGGCAAATGCTCTACTACTAAGCTATCTCCCCTTTTTATTTCTTGTATAGTGGAATGGTCTTGCTAAGTTGCTGAGGCTATTCTTTTTTTTTTTTTTGGTAGTTATTAAAATAGCTTATTTATTTTTATTATTATTATTTTTTTATTATTAGTTGTTCAAAACATTACAAAGCTCTTGACATATCTTATTTCATACATTTGATTCAAGAGGATTATGAACTCCCATTTTTACCCTGTATACAGATTGCTGAGGCTATTCTTAAAATCCTCCTACCTCAGCCTCTGGAGTTGCAGGGATTATAGGTGAGTGTCACTGCACTCTACCTTGTTAATAATTTTCGAAGTTGGATATGTAGCAAGAAATAAAGGAAGGTAGTAATATGTCAAGTTATCCAGAAAACTGGGAGTTTTAAGGAATTGGAAATGTGGTGATTGTGTTCAAGAGTGGAGTATTTAGTTCTAGAAGTGGAGGTTAGCAAACATAGCATACTGGTGAAAATGAGATAGACAAGATTTTTCTTATCTATGTTTCTGAACACAGAATTTTAAGGTTATCTTAATTAGGCAAAACAATTTGGCTTAAGAAATGAGAATAGTGGACAGTAATAAGTAGTGACCATTACATTATATATTATGGTTATAAAATTATTTGAAAGAGTTCCTGGAAAAATCCTATTTATAAAATGTTTTGCTCTATGAAGAATATTTACCAAAATTTCAATTTTAGGAATCAGAACATTGATTAAAATCTGTGCACTTTAAAAATCTGTCTATGTAAAGTGTCAATACCCTAAATATTTTTTGACATTTTATTTAATAACTCCAGCATAGAACCAAGATATCTCATTCCTGAAGATAATACCTTAGTCATGAAAGGTCACTAAGAAGGAGATTGGAAGAGATGTCACACTGAGAGTCTGTATTTAAAATAGGCTCTCTTGTCACATTTTCCTGTTAAAGCCTATTTTACAATATGACTTTGCAAAAATCAGTTAAATGCAAAGAAAAATATGAACTGAAAACAGAATGATAAATTGAAACATACTACTTTTCTTTTGTAACAAAAAAAAGTTCAGAGTTAACATGGGTGTTTTATATCTATAATTAGTAGAAAGTATTTCTGGAGTTTTTCAAAGATTACAAAAGATAATATAATTTAAAATTAAGATCCTTAAAATAAGTCCATCTCTTTAATCCACTTGTATTTTTTGTTCTTTTTTTTGTATATTTTGCTCAAATGTCAGTCAATTCAATTTATTTATCTTTGTAAGTTCAGAATAAAATAAAATTTGTAATTTTAAAAATTAAGTTGATTTTCTAATAAACTTTGATGAACATAAATACCTGCTTATGACATTTAAAGTCCCTTTCCCTACTAATACTGACAAAATTGTGTTTGCTGTAAGATACTATTTGTTGTGAGACACTATTTATAAAGACACTGTGTTCATACAACAGATACCTGCTTTTCTCCTATTGTAATAAAAAGTCAAATAAAAAAGAGTATATAAAGTAGGCAATTGCAACCTATTAGTTTGCTTTGACCATTGAAATCCCCAGCAGACCTCTATGGCAGATGCTTTTTCCTTCTTTTCTGTTACTAAAATTGTTCTATTATTTTTCCTTTGCAGTTTTTCTTTACATCTTTTGGTGCCAGGGACAGAAGTTACCTCAGTATATTTAGGTTGTGGCAGAACGTTTTATTAGATAAGGTAAGTGTTCATCCCAGAGGCAGGTGTTTGTTTTAATAAGAATCTTCTACTGGGTACATAAATAAAATTTATGAAGAGCTCTTTTATTTTTCTGAACCTAACTTTGACTACACTATTCAAATTCCAAAAAACTTGAAGCAAAACAAGATCCATAATTACAAATTAAGATGTTAATTGTTATCCCCAGGGTAACCACCACCCCTAGGAAAAAAAAGAAATTAAAAATATTAAAAGATAATAAATAAATGATATTAAAATGAACTACTATAAAATATATTTTTAACACACAAAATGGTAGTAAGGGAGCCGGGCATGGTGGCTCACGCCTGTAATCCCAGCAGCTTGGGAGGCTGAGACAGGATGATCGCAAGTTCAGATCCATCCTCAGCAACAGTGAGGTGCTTAGCAACTCAGTGAGACCCTGTCTTTAAATAAAATACAAAATAGGGCTGGGGATGTGACTCAGTGGTTGAGTGTCCCCAAGTTCAATCTCTGGAACAACAACAACAAAAAAAGCAGTAATGGCAGAATAAGTGGACATAAAAGTTATGACATAAAAACCAATTAGCAAAATGTAGACATTACACAGATCAATAAACCTAAGTGGATTAAACACTTGAAAGTTAGAGATTGGCAGAATAAAAAAGCATATGATCCAACTATATGCTGGATGTAAGAGGCAGATTAGATTTAAAGACAAAAATATATTGAAAGTAAAGGGAATTAAATGATATTTCATGCAAACCCTAACCAGAGGTGACTATAGTAATATCAGACAAAATAGAGGAATACCAAAATTTTTAGAGGCAAAAAAACAATATTTTATAATGATAAAAGGATCAGTTCATTTGGAATTCATAACAATCATGAATGTGTGTACTTTTTAACACAGTCCTAAAATATATAAAGCAAAACCTGACAGAATTGAATGAAGAAATAAACAATTCAGCAGTAATAGTTGGAAAATTCAGTACTCCATTTTCAGTGACAGAACAACTAGACAGAAGGTCAACAAGGAAATAAAACGTTTGAACAACACCATAAACTAACTTGAACCAAAAGACATCTATGGAATACTCCTCACAACAACAGGAACACGTATCTTTCATAAGGGCACATGACATTCTCTAGAGAAGACCACATGCTAGGTAATAATGAACCTCAGTACATTTAAAAGGATTAAAATAATATAAAATGTGTTCTGTAACCATAATGGAATGAAATTTGAAATCAATTTGGGCAAGTTTGCTAGAAAGTGGAGATTAAATAGAAGAGTCCTAAATAACCACTGGATAAAAGAAGAAATAGGGAAAGTAGAAAATACATTGTTGAGTTAAATTAAAACAAAACACAAAAGTAATTAAGTCAGGCTCCTGGGTTGGGGGCACTTGCATCCCATGTGTAAGGGTCAAGTTCAGTTACCAGGTTCCTTTTTGCAACAGGAACATAAACACACAGGTGGGAACTTCAACTTCTCTCCTCCCCCATCCCTAGCTAATAACTGAAGTGAGCACATTGTAAGAGAACTTCAGGGCTCTTAGGATTGAATGGCTTTTGGAACTCAGTCTCTGAAGACAGGTTGTTCCAAGTAGCACCCCACTGGGGATGCTTTAGCTTTGCTGGAGTGAGGGTGATGTCTGAAAAAGAGGCCTGAAAGTCAGAGGAAGGCGAAGGCAGGGAGGAGGGACTCATGAGTCCTTCTTTGGTATTTTAGCTTTCTGCCTACACTGAACCACATGCTCATGCTCCTGGCTTGAGCAACACCTTAAGGTACAAAACATGCAGCTCTATTTCAAGTGGAAATTATACTCTCATTTTAAAAAGGAGAATGGCAGTTGTTTTTGCTCTGTAGTAGACAACAGTATCTGTTATATATTAAATACTATATAAAATTGGCCTAACAGGAAATTTTAAGCATGGTAGAATTCACCCAGAAAAAGAACTAAAAAAACAAACAGAAAACTACCTTCTTTTTATTTATTTTTTGTATTTTCCTAGTGATCGTTGAAGAACAATGCTATTTTTTTAAATATACAATATCTACAACAATAATAGCAACTCCCATTTATGCTGTATTAGGTGCCAGTACTGTGTATATTGTTGATATTGTCCAGGGTTTCACAAGCCCCATTTGCCTTCTAGTTTTTTTGGTTTGTTTTTTTTTTTTGGTTCTGGGGAATAAACCTAGGGGCACTTAACTACTGAGCTACATCCCCCGCCCTTTTTATTTTTTATTTTGAGACAGGGTCTCACTAAGTTACCTAGAGCCTTGCTAAGTTGCTGAAGCTGCCTTTGAATGTGTGATCCTCCTGCCTCAGCCTCCCAGGTCTCTGGGACTAAAGGCCTGTGCCACTGTGCCTGGCCTACCTTCTAGTTTTTTGAAGTGAAATAGTCACATTGGTTAGATTTCTTGATCTTGTGTAACACTTCTGAAAACAAACAAACAAACAAAAAAACACAAGAAAAAAATCCATAGATTATGCAAGAGTATAGCTATAAAATTCTATAAAAACCTTATACATAAATTGAATAATACATTTTATTTGGGTTATAATATTTGGAATCTATTTAGAGAATATAAGTTCAGAATATTTTACTTATGTTTACCTGTAATTAGGAAATCTGAGAGTAAAAATAAATATTTTTTACTTCTGTTTACTTTTTTTTTGTGTGTGAGAAGGCTGTAAAAACAAAGCAAATTAATCTAGAAGAAAGATTATTGAAAGATTATTTGATTAAGTATTATGAAAACCAAACATGATTGTATGTGCTTGTTTCTTATTTATTAAGTCCCACAAAAGAGCTTCAGAAAAAGCTGGAGCCATACTATTGCCTTTGAAAAAGAATGCTTTTTAAAGAACCATCTTTTTCATTCATAACTTAGCATAACATAAGTTGGAGTTTAGTAGATATGTGTTAGAACTGCCAGCATACTCATTTATGATGTAATTTATAGCATTTCAGCTTAGTTGACAACATTTGAGCTTGGCTCTGATTGTCTATACAGCATATTGAGTTATCTGAGATTTGTGGGGCTAGAGGACAGACTCGTTTGTTTCAAATTGCCATTTTTAAAATTTATTCTTTTTAGTTATATATGACAGTAGAATATATTTTGACATAGGATACATACATAGAGTGTAACATCATTCTTATTGTACATGATGTGGAGTTGCACTGGTCAAGTATTCATATATGAAAATAAGCAGTTTATGTCTGATTCATTCCACTCTCTATCCCATTCCCATCCACACTCCCTTTCTCCCATTTCCCCATCCAATGTGGTCAACCTCTACTCTCCCCCAACCGCCTATTGTGAGTCATCATCTGCATTGAGAACATTTGGCCTTTGGTTTTTTGGGTTTGGCTTATTTTACGTAGCCTAATAGCCTTCAGTTCCATCCATTTACTGGCAAATGCCATAATTTCATTCTTCTTTAAGGCTGAGTAATATTTCATTGTGTACATGTACCACATTTTCTTTATCCATTCCTCTATTGAAGGGCATCTAGGTTGGTTCCATAGCTTAACTGAATTGAGCTGCTATGAATATTGATGTGGCCTCATCACTGTGATATGCTGATTTCTTAAAAAATATTTTTTTTAGCTGTAGATGGACACGATATTTTTATTTTTATGTGGTGCTGAAGATTGAACCCAGTGCCTCACGCACGTGAGGCATGCACTCTACCACTGAGCTACAACCCCAGCCTTAATATGTTGATTTTAAGTCTTTTGGGTATATGCTGAGAAGTGGGTTAATTGGGTCAAATGGTGGTTCCGTTCCAAGTTTCCTGAGTGATTTCCGTACTAGTTTCCAGAGTGGTTGTACCAATTTGCAGTCCCACCAGCAATGTATGAGTGTACCTTTTCCCCCACATCCTCGCCAACACTTATTGTTGCTTGTATTCTTGATAATTGCATTCTGATTGAGGTGAGATGAAATCTCAGTGTAATTTTAATTTGCATTTCTGTGTTAGTGATGTTGAACATTTTTTCATATATTTATAGATTGCTTATTATCTTCTTCTGTGAAGAGCCTGTTTAGTTCCTTAGCTCATTTGTTGTTTTAGTTATTTATTTTTTGGAGGTAATTTTTAAAAATTTCTTTATATATCCTGGAGATTAATGCTGTATCTGAAGTATAGGTGGCAAAGATTTTCTCCCATTCTTTAGGCTCTCTCTTCATGTTCTTTATTGTTTCCTTTGCTGAGAAGATTTTTAGTTTGAATCCATCCCATTTATTGATTTTCGATTTTATTTCTTGTGCTTTAGGAGTCTTATTGTGGAATTCTGTTCCTAAGCCTACATGATGGAGATTTGGGCCTACTTTATTTTTTCCTAGGCATAGGTTCTCTGGTCTAATGCCTAAGTCCTTGATCCACCTAGAGTTGAGTTTTGTGCAGGGTGAGAGATAGAGTTCTAATTTCATTCTGCTACATATGGATTTCCAGTTTTCCCTGTGCCATTTGTTAAATAGGCTATCTTTTCTCCAGTGCATGTTTTTGGAGCCTCTCTCTAGTATGAGATAACTGTATTTATGTGGGTTTGTTTCTATGTCTTCTATTCTGTATCACTGGCCTTCATGTCTATTTTGGTGCCAATACCATGCTAGTTCTGTTACTATAGCTCTGTTGTATTATTTAAGTCTGGTATTGTGATGCCTCTGCTTCACTTTTTTTTTTAAGGATTGCTTTGGCTATTCTGGGCCTTTTATTTTTCCAAATGAATTTCATGACTGCTTTTTCTATTTCTATGAAGAACATCATTGGAAACTTAATAGGAATTACATTAAATCTGAATAGTGCTTTTGGTAGGATAGCCATTTTGACAATATTAATTCTGCCTATCCAAGAAAAAAACAAAGAAAAAAATCCATAGATTATACAGGAGCATAGCTATAAAATTCTATAAAAACCTCATACATTATGCTCCATTGTTTGGGGCATAAATATTTACAATTATTATGTCTTGTTGATGTATGATCCCTTAGCATTATT